TTTAATGCTCTTCTAGTATTTAGTACGTTTTTTAGAGTATAGGCTAAAAGCTAGTATCTATAGGCACTTAGGACAAATAGTGCTAATTATGATAAAAACATTAATTATATATGCCTAATTGAAAAAAACATAGTCGGGTAGCGAAAAAATGATATCGTAGCTAGCACCGAGGGGGATTTTCTCAAACCTTGAAATTATTATTTTTAATCCTTAAAAAGCAACAAAATAATCAGTCATATTTGCCTAAATGTGTTTGAAGCATTACTTGWGAAGAATGTCATTTTATTCAGTGCAGGCATATCTATTGGCCCTGAAACACTGTTACTCGTATAGTATCAGCTTTCCCAATGATTCTTTTCGGTATTAGCTTTGTTTGTGGGGTAAAAACGCAAGCGGAAATCGTGAAAAAATCATGGAGAACAGCTTTGAATTGTGAAGAAATCTTCAATCTTGGTGTCTAAAGTTTAGAAATCATGAATCAATGTGGTAGAAATTGGGAATAACGAATCAAAGCTGAAAAACTTGACAAGCTCAGAATCAAAAACAATGTTTGAAGAAATTTTTTTAGGAATTGTAAATCCACCCACGACTTGATTTTTAAAAGCTCTTGGAACACGACTACGTTATTTCACATAGGTGTATACTAATATATACACTAATAATATACTAATAATATTCTAAATACTGATTTATAAGCAACTGAAACTTATATTCACCATTAAATGATTTACTTATTAAAGCATGTTTTATTCTTGATGTGAACTTCTTTTCGAAAATTCTGCGGAATTTTAGATATACTACATATTTACAAAATACCACTTAAATAACTAAAAAATATTGCATAGTTTCCTAAATATACTTTCATGAATACATGAGGTATGTTAGATTAGGTTTCTGAATTTTTCTCATAATTTCAAAGCAATTTCGTGGTGTTGTAACGTTTATATTTTTTAAATGCTGATTATTTTCGAAAATATAGTTGTAATTGTTTTAATTATTCTAACTCACGTTATGTTTATTTTTTCCCTTTAGTTCCTCTATTTATTCATGGAATATTTTATTGTGATTCCGTTCATTGCACTGAACATTTTGCTTTGCGCGCCTGTTATTGTTATGATTTACACCAAAATCTTCTAGTATCCAAATATCACCATAAAACGAATGTCAGATGGTTGAAAACTCTGATAGTAGCGTTTAAAGTGCTTAGAAACGTGAGATGGTCAAAGATTCGAAACGACTCACAGTACAAKTTATAGACTTTCGGTAAACTGAAAATGACCGCTTACCGGCCCTCRMGGCYMCCAAAGCATAATGGTRCACACTGGKCCTTTAAAATGTTATGAYTTCAGTTTCTTTTCCATTTTTATCACAACAACAATAGATATTACAATACATTGCCATTGATGCTCATTGACAATACTATATTGTACAATTTTCAATTTTCAACAAAAGCAACAAACATAGCATCTTTCCTTCTCAAAATACAATTTCCTTTTTCCGCAATACTTTTTTTGTTGTTAGTTATTTTTAATCTTTTTCTCTTTTCGTGTTTATATAATGCGTCGTATGTTTTCATACGTTGTGAAACGTGAACTAGGCCCGAATCCCTTTTTTCATGTGAAAATGTATTCTACTTTTCGTTCGGTGTTACAGTAGATTTGTAATCATTTAATTAGCCTTGGTTTCCTACACATGTGGTGGAAACTAGCGGTAAACTAGTGTGAGCTGCGTCGGTGTTTCTAAAAAAACAGTTGTGTACAARGATACATTTTGTACATTTAACACCGTAAAATGCAGGTGAAATAACTTACTGACGTTTCGCACGTTAATCCTTCGTCGGAGTCTTTTTTACACAACTTAGTGTACTACACATGTCCCCAGATATATACAAGGTGTACTTCCGTTTTTCTTCTACTATTTTTGGAGTTATAATTTCAGTTAAACTCTCTATTTTTAGTATATTTTTAGTAGCTTAAAAGGTACTTGGTTGTTTTAGCTTAAAATGGTCCTATTTCGTCTGGTTTGATCTCTTATAAGCAAAAACTTCCGCTTGAGTGTCTTAGTACGACGTCCATCCATGCCGACGACCTAGAAATTGCTTCGCTTGTATTGTAGCCATTATTCAATGACTCAGGCGATTTAAACGAAAAGATACCCGAACAATATTTATTGCACCAATACAAAAATACTGACTGTGTATTATTGAGGAAGATTAGCTTGTCGGTTTTGACACTCGTCTTTGATGAGCGCGCGAGGGCTTTTCAATGGTTAAGTCATAGCTATTAAAGGATTTATGTAGGAAGTTATATATATGTAAAAAGATGCATATTTTATGAGCTGCCACTCCCGTAGTTATAGCTACAATTGGAGATCTAAGAATTCTTGTTTTATTTTATGTATTTGACGTATCCGTTCTCAATAAACAGAGAACAAATTGGAATAACAAATCTCGGTGTATTTGTTATTCACACTGGCGATTTTTACTGCGATTTTTTCGGCCCTTTTTAATAATTTACTAGATATTGCCCAACCCCTCTTAGGAGACGTTTACTTAGCTCATCTCAGTGTACTGAATAAGACTTTACAAGTTAATTCTTAAACATTATTATCTATAGGATTAAAATGACCGCAAAAACTGCAGCAAAAATATATAACCAAAAATGTCGTCAGACGTGTGAATTAAGATTTTTAAATCTTATAAAAAGCTAAGCCAAAAAAATATTGTATATTTCGGAGATGTTAATGTACATTCGTGTTCCAAATTAGTAAAAATAATCCATAATGCTATTTTTCCCTTGCAAAATGGCTGCTGAGAAGAACCCTAAAGAAAATAGCTTCTTTTAGCATTCTCAAGCTAATGCTTTTAGCGTCCTAGACCCATAGCCTTTTTTGAAGTGGGAGAAAATGYACTTTCCACCGGGATAAGCTTTTATAGAGTTTTTGACTGGCCACTATTTTGTCTGTTTATATACCAAAATGTAAAAAAATATCATAGAATTGTAAAATGACCATTTGTATACTTTAGCAAAAACGAACAAAGAATATAAAAGGTCACTCAGGCTGAGCTCTTTCTTTTGTTTATCTAATATATTCCTTTTTACAAGTGTACAATTGTACTATTTCTCTCTGACAGCTTTTTTGCAGAAAGGTGTTCCTTTTATATTTTATTCAATTCAATARCAGTGCTTTTAGTTGCAAAATGTCCCTGAACGGACATGAAGCMTTGCCCTGTAGGCTTGCCTCAGGGTGGTAGTCAGTGTAGCAGTGTGTGGAAATAGTAATAATGAAAAAATACCCCGCTATAATAACTTGAACTTAAAGGGACACTGTCAATGGATGACATGCGCGAGTAAACTTGAAAACACTAGGCTAGTGTTTTCAAGTTTGACTCCAAGTTGACGCGACATAAATCAGATCGTAAACGTAAACAGATTTAAAATATTCCAAAGTGTGTCAAAAAGTACCACAAAATGATTTACCTCGAAGGTTATACTTTCAAAGTCCGTTAGAAKTGAGACTGTTACTGCGCATGTCATCCATTGACAGTGTCCCTTTAAGTTCGGTTTTCCAGTTGATATTTGTTGCTAGAAGATACATATCAAACAATTGCCTCAGAGAAAAATTCATTCGTTTGCCAAACTTTTGCTGACCATATATGGTAATCTTACCTTATAAGGAAGTACGTTAGAAAGTTTTTTTCAAGTTTTTTCCACCTTTTAGTGCTWTAAAATGGCTAAAACTTACAGAATTTGCAGAGAAATTGCTTTTCAACATGTCGGCCATTATAATTTTCTCCCCTCCMATCCTTGAAAATAAGGAATCCCACAAAAGACACAGGTAGCCCACGCGAATGTTAGGCAATTGTTTGATATGCTGTTGTCAATATGGCCGCCATCTTGGATTTTACTCGGTCTGTATAGTGAATGGGATTCCTGTGGGATTCCTGTAGAGTTGCAATAAGCAAGAAAGTTGTTAGACTGTAATCAACATTGAGAATGCTATTGACTTTTATACTATGACAATTCGAAAAAAAAAAAAAAAATGTTCGTATGCTTTGCAGATACAAAATACTTGTTTCCAAAACGTCATTAAGGAGACTTTAGGACGTACTTTTGTCACTCCATAGTGCGTCTCACCGGAAAACGTACCGTCATAAGTAAGGAAGACTATTAATAGCGCTCGTAGTCATCTTGTATTGGGCTTCCTGTTCCCTCTCCACAGGAAGCCCGCAATATATAAAGAGAGGGACACTAACATGTACGACTTTTAAAATTGGCGGTTGTTCACGAACGYCAATATTGGTGGACTACTGACGATTCATGGAAACGAGAACTCAAAGGCCTTCGATCTAGAAATCACTACGAAGATCTCATGTAGACTTGTGTCCAAAAGTTTGAAAGATGTATTGGTGTGTTATTCATAACGAAACATTCTTGCAAGCGCCATTGAAGTTTACTATGCGGAGGCTGGCATTTGAGACCCTGGTTTAGTGCTTCGTCCCCAGTGCTCTGGCCTGCGACCGTGACATTTTGCTATTCAAAGTCATTTGAATATTATAATTAATACCCTAGGGAATTGTAATTATGTAAATGAGTATATATAGGGTCAGGGAGTGGCTACTCCAATTACTTCATTCAAAGGGCACAAGCAGTGCGGATGTCTTATAGTTTCTGTTACGCTTGCCGCCAGTCGAAAGTGTTATGGCTAATCAAGTCCCGGTTACAAGCATTAGAAGTTGATGAGCAGAATCAGAAGGCGGCTGATAGAAGGTGGTGGGTCAAGAAGAGGCAAGATTTCAAGAGAAATATGGTGACTTGTAGCGTTAAGTTTCTTTTGGGGGTTCGAAATAGTAGTATTTGAGGCTTGGAGTTTGTTGAGTTAGAGTGCATGTGTCAGTGCGTGTGAGTATACTCAGCGGAGTTGTGCCGGCATTACGAGCGGTTGCCGGGTGATTGGTTTTACGCTGGTTTTCAACTTCTTGTATTTGTGTAAGTGCCACAGAGTGTTTKCCAACCATTTATTGCTTTGGTATGTTTGAGTTTTCAATATAGTTTTGTGCCTATTTAAGTTGGGGCTCGKAGTGTGGTTCTAGTGTGCCTATGACACAGGAAGACCGAGAATGGATTTGCCTTCATAAAAGGTCTGGGATGCAAATATTGACGTGATGTAAATATATGTGCAAGCTGCTGTTTTTCTGAGTACCCAGGTTTTGTTTTCCGTTACAAACATCATATTGTAGCATCAATATTACACAAAAGATTGTGTCTGGGATGTGATGAGTAACAAAGCTTTTAGTCCCGATAGGTCAAGGTCACAGCATACAAGATTACCGTGAAAATAAGAAAYGTGACGAACATGATCTTATCACAAAGGCGCGAAAATGCCTGCCAAGTTGCTTCGTTATCCATCTCCTTCTTCGTTTTCATAAACGCGTTAGTAGAAGGGGGCCTGGAATCCGGGGCCACGGCTCCTAGAGAAATGTTATCCACTCSCAAGGGAGGYGATTGGTCAGACTTGGAGATCGGCTTGTGAGATTGTGTACGGGCCAAATTATGCCTTAGGAACTTGGGAGGCTTGCGCTTGGAGTGGAAGCACTTGAGAATGAATATCGTAATCAGAAGAATTAACGAAATCATRATCATTGTTGCCATCATAAGGACGCCTAAAATYGGAATGGACTTAGAGGACTCGGGAAGGGACTCTGGAATAATCAGCAGGAAAACCATCATGCCCAGCAAGAGTGTAGTGACAAAACCAATCCTCTCCCCACTCTCTGTGGGGATGAAGAAGCTTACTAGGGAGAGCACGGAGAGTAGGGCACATGGTGCMACGARATAGAACAAGTGGTATTGGAATTTTCGCTTCAGGCCAATTCTAAYKGTGATCTCACTGAACGAGTAAGGACAGCAATTCCCATGATCGGTTTCTCCAGAAATAACTTTGAAACTAATGAGATCCC